ATACGCCTCATGCAACACACATGCACACACGCACACACGTACACACGCACATAATAAAGTAGGAACACGCAGTACATATACGCACACACTCTTACACATGATTGATGGAAATTATTTATATTATAATTATTTTATTTATTTATTTTACTAATGAAAATGGTTATTTTAAAATCGTCGGCTAATTTAATCTTAACTCTAAACATTGTTTCTCTTTTTAAGACTTTGTCTATGGTGATTTACTGATTTATCATATAAACAAGTTAAAATTACTACTACTTCTGCTGCTACTACTACTACTATTATTACTACTACTACTGCTGCTGTTACTACTACTGCTGCTGCTGAACTACTACTAATGCTGGCAGTAATAACAAAAATAAAAATTTCTAAGCAAAATAAAAAAAATTTTTGTAAAAAACTATAAAAAAAGAAAAAGGAAATTGATAAGAATGGAAGATAGAGGTAAAAGAAAAAAAAGAAGGAGAGAAAGCGAAAGAGAGAAAGAAAGAAAGAGAAAGTGATGGCGGTTCGGAGAGAGTTATGTTTGTTCTTGAATAAATGTCTTAATATCCTACGTCTGCTGATGCAAACACAATCATTGATTGGTCCTTTCGAGACAACTCGCTTGCCCTTTTTATGTTGCTCAATTTTTTGATGATGATGCTGACGATGATGATGACGGTGTTGGCGATGATGATGATGATGATGTAGGTGTTGATGATGATGATACATGTGTTGATGATGATGATACATGTGTTGATGATGATGATACATGTGTTGATGATGATGATACATGTGTTGATGATGATGATACATGTGTTGATGATGGTGATACAGGTGTTGATGATAATGACGATGAGGATTATGATGTCACTGCATCAGCAGACGTATGATACTGAAACACTATGATAAAATGAGATCATGATGGTGATGATGATAGTGACAATGATGTTGGTAATAATCCAGTCAGGTGATTACCTGGGTGATAATGATAATAACTGTGTAAATAGGTAATGATGATAATTTGGTTCAAGATAGGAAAAACGAAGTACTACTGATAAGAAGTGAGTTATGTGATTAAGTTGAAATTTTAAAAACTTCCGTGATGATTTTGAAGAATAATAAGAACGCGTGTAGATGTGACGACGCTTAATCATTAACCAGATCAATAAAAAATCATTTGTTCATTCTTTCGTTCATTCATTCCTTAAGCTCATCCATTCATTCATTTATTCATTCATTTATTTGCTCATTCATTCATCATCTATTATGTAGCAGGCATTTGATAATTTAATAACATTAGAAATCATGTTTGCTTAGCAGATCAATGATTCAACGTAGCAGCGACAGTACAAATATGAACGAGATTTAATAAATGCCCTATCCTACCTAATACTACATAGTACTACAGAGTACTTTGCAGTACTACACACGTGTATGAGCGAGTTTGTATTAATTTTGTTTTAATAAATATATATTAAATAGGAATTTTGATGAAAATCCAAATTTGAAGGTTTTTATTAGTTAAAAATGGCAGACTCCTACTACAATGACAATGAAATTCGTTGAAATTATTTAAAATTTTAAAATTACCGACAAAATCTTTAAGAGGGAGGTTTATTCATTAATTAGAAATGCGACTTAAATGGATAGCCAATGGATAGATTACTTAACTCCTAACTACTACTAACTACTCGTAAATAAATTAAGACATGCAAATAAATACTAAACATTAATTAGAAGTTTGCTCTGCTAGGAAGATAGTTAGGTGTGTACTTATCTAAGCGTTGAGACATGACTGTCTGAACAACTGAATCTGAAGAAAATAGTATCATAAGTTGTAATTTTTTTGATTTCTTGGAATGTTTTTATGAGGAGTTTTTTTTATTGAAAAAAGTGTTTTACGAATGTTTTAGTAACATCAATAACATCTATGTGCATGCATATACTACCATACTGTGCATATACTACCCATACTGTGTTATGTGGTATGCAGTTTCATAAAAAATACTAAATATATACGTCCTAACATTACTCAATTGATATTTGTCATTGAAGAAATTACATTGCAATTGTTTTTTCATTTGTAACATGCCTCTTATAAAAAAAACTTTATCAATCAGACTTTTTTAATGTTTATTAGTTTTTTAAACGTTTGTTGATGTTTCAGTCATGCTATCTTCATAAAAATTTCACATTTGGAGGTCGATTGTGTGTGGTATGCATGTGGATGCACTATTGTTTGTAAGAATTCATTTAAAATATACTTAACCATCTACTGTGCTGGATGGAATGCGTGAGGCCTTGCAGAAATGTTTGGTTTGTGGCTCGTGTCTGTGAGTCGCAAAGCCGAAGTGTGGTTAGCTTGTTATGCCGTCACTCTAAACGCTGTCGTTGGTCAATAACTACGAATAAAGATTCATATTATCAACAGAAATTCCAAATTCATATAAATTCTCAGTTAACCAAGCATCGTTTAATCTTAAAATTTAGCATAACGATTGCTTAGCTCAACAGTGCCGGGTTCAAGTTTTGAACAATGTGAGCCTGACATCACATTTATCAAATATTCTTCAAAATTATTTGTCGTTAAGGTTGTACAAATCTGTTTAAGACGCATTGATCCCTCCATTTATTGTATATAATTAAAATATACCATCAGAAACGTTTGTATAAAAAATGTGTTCCTGGCATACAGATACAAGACGATAATTTTTGAAACTTAACTATAAAAAGTAGAAACTGATCTTTCATACCAACATGCCAACTGTTATTTAGAATTATTAAAATTATCTGAGCATTTATTGATGTTTTGACTATTTGAATGAAGATGTGCAAGTCATAATAGTACGTACAACATGAACACACATACGTATCGTATAAATTTAAGTACGCATATATGTGGGTATGTGGATACGTATTTGCATACTTAATACGTTTTATATACGTATGTATGTACGTAAGTCTTTCTCTCTCTCTCATTCTCTTTCTTCCTCTCTTCCTCACTCTCTCTCTCTCTCTCTCTCTCTCTCTCTCTCTCTATATATATATATATATATATATATATATACGTTTTTACGCAAGCACGTACGTACGTATCTGTACTTAGTTGCACGAATGCATGTATGTATGTATGTATGTATGTATGTATGTATGTATGTATGTATGTATGTATGTATGTATGTATGTATGTATGTATGTACGTACGTACGTATGTATGTATGTAGGTATGTATGTGAGTGTGTGTGTGTGTGTATGTGCGAGCCCATGGTTAAAAATGTGTGTATGTATGTATGTATATATGTATGTCTGTCTATCTGTATGTATGTATATGATTATATATGTATGTGTGTACGAATGTATGTGTGTGTATATGCACAGTATGCGTATGTATACGTATGAAATTGTCCGTGTTTGCTTGAACGACGAATTAATCCATTTAAACAACAATAGCACCTGTCGAAAAAGTCGATATTTTGTTATAATAATAATAATAACAACAATAATAATAATAATAACCAAGCAAAGATAAAGATGATAGAATGATGATGTTAATTTTTTAAAGAAACAACGGTAAAAATTTAACATGGTGCAACTGATAATGAATAATAATAATAATAATAATAGTAATAATAATAATAATAATACGATGAAAAAATAATTATAATGTCGATATTAACGCATTTTGACAATCGTAGTTCGCAAGCAATCTTTAAATGAGAATTAAATGAACAATTTGCATTGTGTGATTTCTCTCTCTCTCTCTCTCTCTCTCTCCTTTCTCTCCCTCTATGTATTTGTGCGTGCGTGTATAAAGGTGTGATTGTGTATTAATATACGCACGTACGTGTGTTGATATGTGTGTGTATTTATGCACTTGTGTGTGTGTGAGTTTTTACGATTTTACTATATGCTGATTATCAGCATTTTTATTCATCTTTTTGCAACGTTAAATTTATTTCCAGAGAAAACAAATGATTCAGAGACAAAGTTTTTAAATGTAGCATTTCATTTATTTATACAAAACGACTTTTTATTAAATTAAAAATGTTTTCAAATTTGAATATTTGAAAAAAAAACATTAAATAGATTTCTATGGTAATCTGTGTTATAATAGCAACAACAACGACAACGACAACAGCAGCAGCAGCAACAACAACAACAAAACAACAACAACAATAGCAACAACAACACATACAATGAATTCAGAATAAAAACATTAAAAAATAATATATAATATTTTTACTGTTATTATTACTGCATTGTCGTTTTCATTATTATTAACAATACCATATTGTTACAAGGAGGTTGTTATTAAGTCCATTAATAACATTAATTTCATGCTTATAACATCAAAAAAGATCACATTAATACAAATTTTGCTTAACTTTTTTAGGCCAAATGATGTTATTTAACAATAAAAAGGACAATAACAAACGAACAAAAAATAAAATGTTAAGAAAAATGACTCCAGATGATGATTGTGTATTGAGAGGTAATACGATGATGATGACATTCATGATACAATTGATACAATTACGATAGAAAGTGAAATGACGTCACATGGAATGATCATGTGATGATAACGTTGGCAATATTGTTGAAACTGTAGCTTTTTAAGTTGCGTGTGTATTGTTCGTTGTTCAATTCAATCATGATTCATCGTCATCATAATCGTCTTCATCATTTTCACCACATCTGCCTCTGTTATCATCATTATCGCAACCACCTCTAATCGCTCCAAGATCGTCATCAGCATTGCCATCGTTATCGTCATCATCATCTCCATCATCGCCTGCTACATTCTCGGCCATTTCATTGGCTGGAATAGTGGTCACGCGATCCAAACATCGGTCTGCTATTGGTTGAAAGCAATGCGGACTTTCCACGTCAACAAGCTCATCATCGACGTCATCATTGTGAGCGTCATCGTTGACGTCATCATCTTCGTCATCTCCGGATGTCATGACGTCATCGTCGTCACTTCCGGTACGTTCTCGCTCGTCGCCCGACTGCACTCGCTTGTGCTTGGTTCGACGGTTCTGGAACCACACTTTCACCTGACGATGATGATAATGATGTTTTATTAGCAATGGTTATAATGATGATGATGCAAATTTTAACACCATCAGTTGAGAAAATGATTGTTGATGATGACTTTTCAGACATTTATAAGATGGTGATTTTGATTATGTTGGCGAGGCTAATGTCAAATTATTATTATTGTCAATATTTTTTTAGCTATTTAGACATGATATTATAACTGCCAACCAAAACCATGTATTCTAACATCACCACACACCACCATCACTGTTCCCACTATAATCATCATCAACATCCTCACCAACACCATCATCATCATCATCAACATCCTCACCAACACCATTGCCATCCTCACTTGGGTCTCAGTAAGATTCAGAGCGGCTGCCAGGTCTTTCCTCTCTTGCCCAACAACGTAGTGGTTCTTTCCGAAAGCATCTTCCAGTTGCAGCAGCTGCGATGGAGAGAAGGCTGTCCTTATCCGCTTTGGCTTCCGGAATGGGAACAGAAAGGTACTATCGGTTCCTGGTGATGATGACGACGTGGAAGAGGGTAATGATGATGATGATGATGATGATGATGATGATGATGATGATGATGATGATGATGATGATGTGGAAAATGATAATTATGTAAGGAGATTTTTTGACGACAAATAGTTACAATTTTTATTTTACTTGCATCAAAGATGACCATATCAATTGAAATTATCACAGATCACTTATGTATCATATATGTCTATTCTGTATATATGTCTTTATCTACATCCATATTTTTCCATATCTTTATCTATAACTTTATCTATATCTATATATCATAGACATAATTAACAACAAAAATATTATTAACATTAGTAATAATACTAAGAAATATTTAACACATAAATGTTAGCATTAGAGAAAAAATAGCAACAAAAATATGACATAAAAAAATTCCCCAAGAATAATTATAGTCGAACAACAACTACTACTACTACAACTAAATCACAACAACTAATCAAATAACAGCTTTTCACTATCAAAATAAACAAAACAAAACGAGAAAAAATTAACAAAAATAAACAAAAACGGCCTGTCATTTTCCAGACACAAAACATCAGCGTGACACAATCAGGAAACAGTTTTAAACGTTTAGCGCTCGCTGTGACGTCATAAATATTATCGATGGTGACGTCATTATTGCGTCATTACGACGTTTTTATGACAGAACTGAAGGCTAATGATGGCGGGAGAGATATGTTATAGTTGTTTTAATTTTACTTCTGTTTCACTTTAATTTTTGGATTTTTCACTCACTCACTCACTCACTCACTCACTCACTCACTCACTCACTCACTCACTCACTCACTCACTCACTCACTCACTCACTCACTCACTCACTCACTCACTCACTCACTCACTCACTCACTCACTCACTCACTCACTCACTCACTCACTCACTCACTCACTCACTCACTCACTCACTCACTCACTCACTCACTCACTCACTCACTTACTCACTCTTTCTCACTCTCTCTACAGTGGGGGTTTATTTCCTCTCGCGTGACAGGTCATCCTCGCTTACAAATTTTTTATTGTCCACGTTGTAATGATAGTGCATTGTTTTATTTATGAACATGTAATTATAATGGCAATTCGAAATTGCTGCTACACGAGTAAACTGACATTATTGTTATTATTATTGCTCTTATTATATTATTATTACTATTATTATTGTTGTTATTATTGTTGTTGTTGTTGCTGTTGTTATTATTACTATTTTCTTTGTTTTTGTCGTTGTGGTTATGTCGTTACTGACGTTGTTGTGTTGTCTCTTTGTATAAAATCACATTTCCGACCGTAATAAAGACGCTCTTGACACACTTCTACTCACAATTTCTTTATTAAGTTTATTATCGTTTGGTTATTTTTAGCTCTGGAGGAAATTTATATTTATTTATTTATTATTTCAAAAACACGAACGAAACCTTATTGTGGTATTAGCAACTGTATGAACATTATTAACTGAGATTTGTTTGCTGTCTTGCGTCAATTTTATGGACTGACTGCTTCATTGATTCTGACTAAAAATAATTCACGTGGTTCCAAGAAACAATAACATTCGACCTAACAACAGTATGACCTACTTAATTTTTTTTCCTCATAGCACGCTAATGAATGCTATCCTTCAGAAGACCAAGAAGAAAGAAGTTGAAATTGAAATTAGCTACGTTATCGTGCTGATTCAGATGACCAAGAAGAAAGAAGTTGAAATTGAAATATAGCTAAGCTACCGTGGTAACTCTGAAACAATAACCCAAACCTCAATCTTTGATTGCCAAAATTGTTGTAATTGTTTGTTACTTACATTTTCTCTATACCAATTATGCTAATGTTACCACTAATAATATTAGCAATAGCTATACTTTTGACTGTCAAAAATACTGTTGAAAAACATTAATAACACAACATAACAATATCATTAAAATGACTTGAAATTACTTTAAATTACTGTACGATTTTCATTGACCTCACAGCAATAGAAAAATCCCTTGCTCGGTACCTCTGCTGTTATAACACGTAAATCCTCTCGTAAAAATTATTTATCTCTGTATCGTTGTTACTATAATATATTCATGTCTGAAAACTGATTGTTATTATTATTATTATTATTGTTGTTGTTTTTATATTATTATTATTATTATTATTATTATTATTATTATTATTATTATTATTATTATTATTACAGACATTCAAATGTATAATAACTATATTAAGACTGATTACATTTCTCGTTGTATGCATTTTATACCTATAATGGCGAGCATCGTAGACTACTTTCTCATTTTAATTCATTTTATTTTATTTTATTTTATTTCATTGAATATTTATTTCGCCCCTTTTTTGGAAGAAATAAAAGAGTTTCCATTATCATCATCATTAGTAATATTGTTATTATTATTATTATTGATAGAGAATTATTAGTAGTAATAGCAACAATAATACTAACATTTGTAGTAGCAGCAGCAATAGCAACAGTAGTAGTAGTAGTGGTAGTAACGATTGTAGTAGTAGAAGTAGTAAAAGCAGCAGCAGGAGTAGTAGCAGTAGCAGTAATAGTAGTAGTTATTGTCCTGCGAGTTGTATTATGTTACTATCTATTTACCTATCTGTGACATGTTAAGTGTTTGTTGTCGTCGTTGTTATTGTTGGTTCTATTGTTAATGTTGTTAAAGTTGTTAGAGTTAGTTTTAGTTGTTATTGTTGTTAATTTTGCTATTGATATTTTTTGTTATTGTTGCTGTTATTGTTCTTTGTTCTTGTTGTTATTGTAATTTATTATCGATTAATGTAACTCTGAAAATTAATGGTACAAAGATGGTTGTCATCGGCTGTTTGGCTGTTTCAGCTTCAAGAATTCAACCTTAGATAAGCAAGCTTAATTGCTAGGCTGACTCTTTCACTTTTTTGTGAATAAAATGGATTAAAAAAATAAGAAACATTTTCTTATAGAATCGCTCTCTTTCTAGCACGGCAAAACATAAAATAACAACACAACACAACATAGAATTACACAACAAAACACAACTTATAACATTATGACAAAAAAGCAAAATATCAATTTGACTAAAATACACTTTAAACAAATGTGTATTTCGATTTAAAACAAACATAAAAGAGACCACATAAACACACAAATACATAATTACACATACGCAGGCACACACGCACACACATACAAGCACACACATACACACACGTACCCAAAACACATGTATACATTTACATATACACACAGATACAGACACTAACTTTTATCCATTTAAACACACACCTAGACTAAATTCATATACACTTAAAATCATGTATACTCACACATACACACACACACACTCACACATACATACGTTGACGCATACTCACACAAACACACACACGCACGCACGCATACATACCGTAACATGTGACGTAACAAACACCAAAGATAATGTAACATAAAATGCAACATTCATCAATCCAGGGTAGGGTAATGATTTTTTTCCCTGCATTCTGCCGATCGTCAGTTCAAGATGGTGATATCGATGTTAAGAGAGAAAGAAAAAGGAAAGTGAAAAGAGGAAAGGAGAGAGAGAGAAAGAGAGAGAGAAAGAGAGAGAGAGACAGACAGTCAGACAAAAATACGAAGAGAGAGAGATAGAGATAGAGAAAAACTGAGAAAAAATAAGCAGAAAGAAATAGAAAGCAGAAAATACAAAAAAAATTGATATTGATGAAATAAAATAATGAATTAATTAAAAAATCCGTTCGTTTCTTTACTTAACGATTATCATTAACTTCTTTATCATATTAGCCAGCAATGATAATATTGTTCTTTGCCATCATCGTCGTCCTCACCATCATCGTAATCATTAACATCATCATCGTCGTCGTTATTATCATCATCATCGTCATCATCATGTCT